GGCAGCAGTCTCCGGTGTTTACCTATGCCGCCATCTTGGTCTCTCCCCTATATTTAAAATATTTCTTAATAAATTCTATAATTTTTCTTATAATCATAAAATATACAAAAAGTGTCATATTTTTACATGAAGCCCATATAGCCTAATCTCCTTCCAGTTTCCTATAGTGAGGCCAAAAAATAAGATCATTTTCTCTGTTTGCCATGATATTAAAAAGGTTGAGAAATGTTATCTAATCCATGGAGAAGTAACATATGTTTTATCCCTGAAGTTGTTCCCATGATCTTTAAGACCTTACATAACTATATACCACAAGCCTCTACCAGTTCAGGATCCATTCCCCCACATACAGAGCAACCATATTGCTCCTCCACTTAAAGAGAACATGGCGTTTGGAATGTCTTCCTCTCCATTGTTTGGGCCAGCCCTTCCTAGACACTCTCTGAGCTGCAAGATCTCTGAGCCCTGGGCCCTGAGTGGCAAACTTCACAGACATGGCCACCAAATTCTCAGTTGTAGTGTTATAGCTTCTTCCTCGGTACTACTACTAATTTACATCTTTTGAAAGAGGTACAGAAGCCTACCTCATTCCTAGGAGAGGGAATGAGGCTGGAAGTGATAGAAGCCACCTACTTTTCATGTTGGTATGAGGCAGAGACCCCTAAGCTCCTGGACCCTCTAGAAACAAGGTCCTGTCTCTGGATCACCAGAAACTATGTACAGAAGGTGTATATTTGGGAGTGAGTCATCAGCATGTAGATAGTAGCTGGAGCCATGAGATTATAGTATAAAGTGGGATGAGAAAAGGATCCAGGACAGGGCCCTGGGGGAGGTGCAATTGAGCTGTGGGGTAAAGAAGAGGAGCAGTAAAGAAGACAGAGTTGGAGCAGACATATATGCATAAGGAGCAGAAAGACTGGAAGTGTGAGTGCCCTGAGTAGTTCTGAAAATCAAGAGTCCCAACACTCATAGAAAAAGGAGCAAGAATCTTACTCTGTCCTTCACCTTAGTCCCATAGATAAGATGAGCCCCTTACCTGTCCAATAGTGAGATTCCTGTGTTCCTTTCTTTCTCTGCCCCTTGACTTAAGTCTCGGAGTTCTCTTTTTATATCTCCCCTCATTACAGTGTTTCTCTCCTTTTCCAATGAGTCATGGGCACAATGCCTTGGGATCACCCTGCCTCAGTGACCTGAGGAGGCAGCGAGTCTCTTCAATTTATCAAGGCAGCCTCAACTCACTCTTCCTCTGCTTCCAGATGTTCATATTGGTTGCAGGTACGAATCCTTATATGGGAGTCTGATTCTCTGATATGAAAGGGGAAGGAAAAGGTGAAAGGGAGGGAAGCTGGAAGACAAAGTTTGACAAAAATACAATGCTACTTTCAACAATAAAGCTTTGAAAAAATAAAAAAAAAACAAAATACAAATGCTATGAGATCCTGGGGAAGGTAACGAAATTAACTTTATTTCACTTACTAAGTATCAGGCAGGGAAAAGATTGAAAGAAAGTAAAAGAGCCTTGTATGGTAATAAAGAAGCCTAAGTTCTTAGAGCCCCAAGATAATGTAGAATAATTTTTCAAAACAGTAGCTTCTATGCCCCAATTTCTCATCTCATGCTCATGGCAAACATCAATGATTCTCACATACCTTTACCACTGAGCTACTTCAGATTTTTTCTCAACACAGTCATCCAACTATCCATTCAAAGCCATCAGAATTCCTCCCTCCCACTGACAAGGACAGAACCTGACCTGAAGGAGCCAGCCTGTCTATTCCCATCTCCTGCAGTCACATTCCTCAGGTCCCTCCCCACAGGGTGAGTTAAGTGAGGAGCTTAGGGCCCAATTTTTTTTTAAATTCTGACATGAGTAAATGTTTTTCATTAAAGGGAGAGAGAGAGAGAGAGAGAGAGAGAGAGAGAGAGAGACATTGATGTAAGAGAAACATCAATTGTTTTCCTCACCTACATGCCCCAAAGGGGGACTGTAATCAAACCCACTACCTGGGTATATGCCCTAATTGGGAATCAAACTCAATACCTTTGTCTGTATGGGATGATGCTCCAGCTAGTGCTAGGCCTCAAGATTTAAAGGGGCACTTTCTTTCAGGATCTTGCAGACCCTGAAACTATTCCCCAAAAGTGAGTGCCTCCTCAAATTTGTGCCCTAAGTCTTTTGCTTGCCTCATTTAGCAAGGCCTAGACCCCCTATTTCCAACATCTCCAACTATCTCCTAGCTCTGTGTGTATATTCAGGTCATAAAAGAGACCCCCAAGATCCAGCAACTCTCTCCTTTCAGACCTGGTCCCCAATAGTTGGTTATGATGAAAATAGCCAATCATGTATGTAGTCAACACCCTTTCATCAGACCAAATCCTGCCCCCTGTTCCCCCTGACTTCATCTCTATTTTCTTTTTAGGAGCATTCCAAGTCCAGGGGCCCCAAGAACCTGTGGTGGCCATGCTGGGTGGTGAAGCTGAGCTGCCCTGCATCCTCACGCCTCGTCAAAATATTAAATACATGAAAATAAGCTGGACCCAATACCTACCTTCCCAGGTGGTGCACCTGTATGAGGATGGGAAGGACAAGCCTGAGAAAGTCATGGGAGAGTATTTAGGGAGGACACAGCTTGTGAAAAATGCCATGCATAAGGGGATCATGACCCTGAAAATCCTCAATGTCCAACCCTCTGACAATAGACAGTATCGCTGTGTGATCCAATATGGCTCCTTCTACAGTGAAGCAGTGATTGAGCTGAAAGTGGCAGGTAATGGTCCATGTTTATCCCCCTTGACACCCCATAGGGGTCAGTTTATTCCGGGATGGGCTCCTTTCTCTGATCCAATTTTCCTGGGAAATATAAAGAAGTCATAGGAGAAATGGAGATGGTCATTACTTCTACTCACCCCATCATCCATATATCACTGCTTAGGGCTAAATAAAATATAATAAAGAATCTCATAGTGGGAGTCAAGAAATTGGCAGGAGCCATTTGTGTTGGAACCCTTTCTAGCCCAAGAGTCTAGGTCGCCATCCTTTGTTGCCAAAACTTCTTCAAAGACCCAGTTTCCTGTTTTAGTTCTGTTTTGAGGGCTAGTCAGCAGCAAAAACTCTTCAGAAGCAGGGGAGGGATATGTGTGTGTGTGTAGGAAAATGAGCTTAGGACTTGACTTCTCTCTCTTCCTCTTCCCAGCACTCGGCTCACATCCTCAGTTACTTGTGGAAGTCACTAAGTCCAGCCAACTCCGATTAGAGTGCAAGTCAGAGGGCTGGTTCCCTCAGCCAAAGGTCCAGTGGATGGACTCTGAGGCGGGAGAAATTCCAGCTGAGTCTGAGACTCACACCCAGGACAAAGGTGGCTTGTTCCATGTAACAACAGCACTGCTCCTCAGAGAAACTTCTCAGAAGAATCTGACATGTTCCTTCTGGAACTCAGTACTGAATCAGAAAAAGGAACAACAATTTTCGACAGCAGGTCAGTTTTTCTCTCCCCTCACTGTGCCGACAAAATGGGCTTGATGCTCACACTCCATGGTGGTGGCAGCCCTAAGCACATAAACTTGGTTCTGCTCTCTTCATCACACCCACACCAGTCTTGCTGCCAGGAGCCAACTTACCTTCTCTTTTTTCTAACTTCTCCCATCCTTTCCTGACATATTTTCCAGTCTTCACCTACTTAACCTCTCCATAGAACTATATCTCCATGTCCATTTAGGCTGGTATAACAAAATACCATAGACTAGGTGGCTTATAAATGACATATATTTATTTCTCACAGTTCTGAAGACTGGAAGTTCAATATCAGAGTGTCAGCAGTCAGGTTCTGGTAAAAGCCCTCTTCCAGGTTGCAACAGCCAACCTTTCCTTGTGTCCTCAGATGGTAGAAGGGATAGGGAGCTGGAGGGGGATATGGGGTGATCTCTTTTATAAGGACACTAATCCCATTCATGAGTTAAGGACCTCACATTGGGGATTAGGATTTCAGCATATGAATATTAAGGGGACACAGGCATTCCAACCACAGCACTCTACCAAAAACTACTTTCAGACTTACTCCTTACTAGCTCTCCAATAGGTCAATCTCCTCTGCTTTTCAGTTTACAACATTTCTCCTCAGTGTTTTTGTGCTGTATTTTCTCTCTATTTAGATGTGCTGTTGCAAAAATGCTAGGAGCCTAAGTATAGATCAACTATCTGTTGACATGCAATATGATTATGATATACCTTGCTATACATATATATTTTACTTCTTTCCTGATTTCTGCCAGGCACAATTATCTTACCACAGTTTTCTTAAATTTTTATATTTCTGATTTGTGGTATTTCTTCAGAGAGGCTACTATTCATTAATAATTTTTTAAATCATAGCTAGATATTTGACTATAATATTCATCTATGCTATGGCAGCATTTATCTAGTAAATCTTGATTACCCTTTTTATCATTTTTCCATGTATAACCTTTGTACTGTTCCTATGCCAATCTTATCGTCTTACTTCTTATTCCATGCATTGAGTTTCCCTGGGCCAGCTATTTCCACAAGTCTCTTATGAGGTAGGAAGGATAGCACAGTCTTCCACAGTAGCTGATTCTCACAATCCCACTGCTACCACAGAGACAGGCTTCTTCCTGCCAATATAGCCCACATGTGTGAATATTTGCATATTCCATGCCCTGTTTCTCCAAACAAAAATAGTTCAGAATGAACACCTCAGTTCTTAAGTCATTTTTTACACACAAGCATGTAGCTTTTGATCTTTAAGGTATGTGTCTCTCCTCAATGAGTCATTTTTGTTAGTACTTTCTGACATTTGCTATTGTGTGGTCTTCTAATCATTCTCCATACCTCTCTTCACTATCTCCCGCATGGAGTCTAGGTGATCATAGCTATTTTTAGAAGATGTTACACCTATTTTAAAGTCTGGTGTTTGCAGTTTTGTTTTGTTTTTAGTTAGTTCTATTTTTGCTGATATTTTATTTCCAAGAAAAGAATGGCCATGAGAGCAAGAGGAGAAAAGTGGAGTCAAAGTGAAGACCTACATAATTTGTCCTCTCTCTAGCTCTTAAGTCTCATCCCTGTTTATTTCCTTCTCTCTCTTACTGAGCTCGGGCCTTTTCATTTGCTGTCACCTCTGACTAGAACACTCTATTATGGCTTTCTTCTTAGTATAATTTATAATTTGAGAAGGTGACAAGGTGGAGTCACACTACAATCCTGCTATTTCTATAGCTCCAGTCTTTCTCTTCTCCATCCATACTCACTCTTCATTGCTTCATTTCTTCCTTCCTGAACTGTGACTTTACCTCCTCCTCCATAAACACACACAAACACACTGAATTATTTACCTAGATTATAAAGGAAAACTCAACTTTCTTTAACTCCTTCCTCCAAATTTGCCTATCCAGACCCATCAAAGCCTCAGCTGAACTAAGGGCCTTTCATCTAGTAACTTTAGTCCTTAGAAAGATGTTAAAACAAAAGGGTGATGAAAATAACGTGTACCTGCCAGTACAATATCCACATAAATTCCAAAGAACAAGTCAAAGGACACTGACAGGGAACAAGGCTTGTCTAAGGCAATTTGTCCATCCAAACAAAGTGTAGCTGAACACAAAACTCTCACCAAATTCAAGTTCTCAGTCTCCTAGCCCAGAATTATTTTCAGAAAAAGGAAAGATTAACGGGGATGAAGTTTAATTACGTAGGTCAAATTACGTAGGTCTTCACTTTGATTCCACTTTTCTCCACTTGCTCTCATGGCCATTTCTGGATTTGTCATCACCTACAATTGCCCCTCATCTGACTTAAATGCAAACTTTTATATTCCTAATATAAATATGGCTGCATAAGACAGTGTGTTCCCCATATCATTGTACCCCATTTCTATGTGGTAGTTTTTCACTTATGCTCTCTATTCTTTACCTGAATAACTACTACTTATTCTCTAGTCTTGGATTAAATATTACTTCCTTAGAGAGTGTTTTTTTTTTTACTGCCCCTCTGGCTGAATTAGGTTCCAGCATTATTCCCTTTAATGGTACCCTGCTGTTTTCATAATTGGTACTAAAAAAATGCAACTTTACATATATTTCCTTGTAGATTTGCATGTATTGTTTGTGTCACTCAGCATGCAGTAAGATTCTTGAAGATGGGGACATGATTTTTTTTAAATCATCCTAAACCCACTGCCTAATATAATATAGTACAGGGAACAAAGAAAGCATTCAATAAACATTTGTTCTTAAAAGTTCAATAAAGAGAAAAACAATGGTTTTGATTTGCTAGTCCATGTGGACACTGAAGTCATTAAGGACAATGACAGACCTTGGCCTGGATGTTGGCATGGAAGACAGGGCCTCAATGAATGGGGAGAATGATCATGAGGCCAGGCAGGGGAAGATAAAGAGTAGTGCTATCAAACAAGGCTCAAAAGAGAAAACTTTTATATGGTGAAATTTTAATTTGTGATACAGGCTACTCATCCCCATTCATCCTCTAATTTGAATCAATCTCCCACTGTTCCCAATACCCCCAACCCAAACTTTTCCTCTGGGCCCTCAAGAAATGTATTCCATTGAAAATTATTCCCAAGATATATTGTATCTTTTTCCTCAAATTCCCTCTACATTCTTGCCTTAATTAAAAACTAAATTTCCCCTAATGATCCTTCCTTCCTGACATTACATTTAATTCCCAGGGCCAATTCCAGCCCTTTCTCTGTTTTTTGATTATTTAAATACTTCCTGGGTGGATTTTTTGTTTGTTTGTTTGGTTGTTTTTTTGTTTGTTTGTTTAGTTTTGTCATAAGCCAGTCATTCCTCTTCATTTACTTACAACTGCGTTACAGTCTGACAGTTCGTCTAACACACTAGTATCTCAACTCTGTGATTACCACATTTCTGCCTTTATACATTCACCCACACATTTATCCAACAAATATTTCTTGAGCAGCTCTTGTGGGCCAGCGCAATGCTTAAAACTGAGAATGACATAATGGCTTAGACATAGTCTATACTTATAAAACTTACCCTCTACTATGAGGAAAAGGCTGTGCAAAAGAAAAAACTTTGAGGGCTATATCAAGTCCGCCTTATTCACCATAGTTTCACCAACACCTATCACTATATGTGGTGCCTAAGAAGAATTCAATACATAATAATTTGAATGAATTAAACTCATTTATAATACAATGTATGAAGCAAGCACAGGATGCCATGAAAACTCAGAGGAGAGATGGATATTGAAAGGGGAAGAGAAGAAGTCAAAGTGTAATTATAAAAATATTAAAAACATAAGTCTCATAAAATACATAGAAAGCAGGTGATATCATTTTAATTAACTCATACATCAGAGAAAGAGCGGATAACAAAACTGATTCAAAACCAGTGAAAAAAATCAATACTATAATTAGACTGCTAAGCTAATGTACCACCTACACTAATAAAAGACAAAGATGCTAATTGACCATACCTTTGCTAGCCCAAGCCACGCCCACCAGCCAATCAGAGCGACTATATGCAAATTAACCCAACCAAGATGGCGGCTGGCAGCCACGGAGCTGGAGCAAGCAGGAGTCTTGGTTTCCCAGGAGATGGAGGAAGCCAAGCTTCCCGCCTGCGCAGCCAGCTGTGGCTGCCACAAAAGGCAACAAAGTTTTAATTATCCTATCTAATAAAAGGGTAATATCCAAATTAACCATAACTCCGTGACAAAGATGGTGGCACCCATAGCCGCAGGGCAGGACACTGGCGGCGTCACCCTGGCAACATGAGCCCAGCAAGCATCACCTCGGTGACCCGTGAGCAGGTTGCAGGTCATGCAGCCCTGGAGCAGGCAAGCACAGCCACAGGCAGCCCCCAGTAGGGCCTGCTCCCGGGTCGCTGCGGTGATCCATGAGCAGGAAAGTGCAGCCCGCAGACAGCACCCAGCAGGGCCTGCTCCTGGGTTGTTGTGGTGATCTGCAAGCAGGAAAGCGCAGCCCGCAGGCAGCCCCCAACAGGGTCTGCTCCCGGTCACCATGGCAATCTGCAAGCAGGAAAGCGCGGCCTGCAGGCAGCCCCCAGCAGGGCCTACTCCCAGTCGCCATGGCAATCCGCAAGCAGGAAAGCGCAGCCTGCAGGCAGCACCCAGCAGGGCCTGCTCCTGGGTCACCAAGGCGATTTGTGAGCAGGAAAGCACTGTCCGCAGGCAGCCTCCAGCAGGCAGCCCAGCAGGGCCTGCTCCTGGGTTGCCGTGGCGATCCCTGAGCAGGAAAGTGTGGCCTGCAGGCATCCCCCAGTAGGCCTTGCTTGCGGGTCACCATGGCAACCGTGAGCAGGCAAGCGGCCTGCAGGCAGCACCCCACCCTGGACACAGCTCAAGGGAGAGAACAACATGCAGGCGAGGCCAGGAGCCTGAGAGATCAACACAGAGGGGTGCCTGCTCCAAGCCTCCATGGTGTGGCTGGGGGCAGGCCCCCAGCAGACACACACACTCACACACACACACACACACACACACACACACACACACACGGGGCGCCTGCTCCAAGCCTTTGCTGCCAGACTGTGGCCATCAGTAGGGCATCCACTGAGGGCTGCCAGACTGTGAGAGGGGCAGCTGGGCTGAGGGACCCCCACTCTCCAGTGCACAAATTTTGTGCATTGGGCCTCTAGTAGGTTAATAAAACCATAATAAAGTTTTATTTTACAAAGTAAGGTTCTCCTTAGATAAATGTATTACATAATGTTTTAACATGATATTAAAAACACACGGGATTTGTTTTTGCATTTTTTCTGTATTTTAGGCACATTTTCTCAACAAAGGCTTTTTTGAGATAACATTGTACCTAATGACTGAAGAGGGAGGAGAAGTTGTCCAATAAGGATGATAAAGGGAAAGCCAACAAGTGTTCCAGGAACAGGGACAGTGCAGAGACCCACTGCACTTCAATCGCCCACTGCCAGTGTCAGAGCCTGGGCTTGATCCAAAAGTAAACATGTTTTAGTTCTAAAACATTAAACCTCAATATCTCAATTGAGTATAACTTCCAATTCTTTCAACTTTTATACTTTTCCTCTTTGTAGGCAGGATTTTCAGACTCATAGAGACCTCTGGTCCCTTGATTCTGTCATGCTATCCCAGGTACCAGCTTCAGCCACCTGCAAAGCCCATGGATTACCTCCCTGACCTACTCTTTACTCAATAGTATCAATTCTGTTACATACTGTTACATTGCTACTCTTCCATGGGAGAAATTAATTTATTTTCTTACATTTGTTTTCTGAACAAGTAAGCTGAATAAGATAATATTGAATGGAGGCTTGAACTTACTAATTAACCACATTTTGAAAGGGTAATAGGGATAGAGGGAGGATCCACAATGTATTCCTGTTAGAGGGAATGTGACTGGGGATTGATTAAGCAAGAAGTGAATGTGGGAACAACTTTCTTCAGGGAAACTGATTGGGGGGCATTTGTATTTCAGTTGCTGCACCCACCAGGGTGATTGAGCTCATCAGTACAATACTCATCATATCGGGTATATGTTTGGCACTTCTGGTACTGCAGACTTCCATCTTCACTGGAATTTATTTAGGCTCAAAAAAAAAGGCACGGAAAATAAGTAAAGGTATGCTTTATACATACATATATATATTCCTTCTCAGAGGTATCTGCCCTTCACCTTTCTGTTTTGGAACAAGATCAAACTCAGCAAAATTCTTCCTAGACTCAGGAAGTCACATTAATGAGACTCTAATACCTCAACTATAAAGTATAGAAAATAATATGTTACTTATAGATACTTTGTGGATTACAAGAAATCATTTACATAAAGAATCCTTGCCTTGGAACAACACAAAGGCATTCATTGAAAGGTTATTATAATTATTGTTATTATTAATGTTGTGGGAAGAAGAGGAGGAACAAAGGTGATGGAAGGATCAAAGGTGATGAAAGGACCAAATATTCATGATACAATAAACATGCACAAGCTATGTGAAACATTCATTTATGAGATCTTAAATTGACCACCAATGAGTAATACTCATTTTGGTATCATACAACTTTTGCCTAAGAAATAAGTGTATCCCCTGTCTGGTGTGGCTCAGTTAGTTGAGCATCTGCCTATGCACCAAGAAGTCAATAGTTTGATTCCTGGTTTGGGCACATGCTTGTGTTGTAGGCTCGATCTCAGTGGGGGCCATGCGGGAGGAAGCAGATTGATGATGCACTGTTTTACTTAAATGTCTAAACACTATGAGGTACACCTGAAACTAATATAAAATAATATTGAATGTCAATAAAATACTTTAGCATTAGGACTTTCAGAACCTTCTATTTAGATGAGTTTGTGAACAAATTAAACGATTCCACAATTGTTGATCAATTTTTCTCTCCAATATCCACAACTATCATTTAAAAATCTATAAGGGTACAGGGTAGAGGGGGTCAATGGAAAAAAAGGGGGACATCTGTAATACTTTCAACAATAAAGATAAATAAAAAGATAAAAATCTATCATTAAAAATATTCAAACCCAATGCAAAATAAAGTGAATAAGATGTACTATTGCTATTTTTTAGTCTATTATTAAAAAATCTTTGAACCCAATTCAAAATAAGATGAATAAAATGTAAAAAATAAAATTTTCTCTGGAGACTGCTTTAGCTGTATGAGTTTTAATGTACTGCATTTTTATTATTCAGTTCAAATATTTTCTAATTTTCCTTGTTATTTCTTTTCTTTGACCCATGGAGTATTTATAAATGTGTTATTTAATTTCCAGATATTGGAAAATATCCAAGATATTTCTAGTTTAATTCCATTGTGGTCAAATAACATGATTTTCTTTTTTAAAAATTTATCTTTATTGTTAAGAGTATTACAGATGCCCCCATTTTTCCCCCATTGATTCCTACACCCCCTCTCACCCCTCCCTACAAAAACATTATTTTCTATTATTTTAATCCTTTTAAGTCTATTGAGACTGTTTTCTTGCCCAGCATATGACCTATCTTAGTAAATGTATTATGTGCACTTATAAAGAATTTGTATTTATTGTTGGGCAGGAAATTCTGTAATATCAGTAGGTCAAATTTGTTGATGGTATTATTGAAGCCTTCAAAATCCTTTCTGATTTTCTGTCTACTTGTTTCAGCAATTACTAAGAAAGAAGTTTTGAAATTTTAAAACTATGCATTAGTCTGTTTCTCCTCTTCAGTTTTATCAGTGTGCTCTATTTATTTTGTTTTCTGCCATTGCACCAACCAGGCCAGCCATGAATCCACTATGCCACCATGAATCATCAGGCTCCTACCACTACCGCTGGTGCTTCTACCATGAACCCCACCCAGTTCAAAAAGAGGCCCAGGCACAGGCTTCCAGCTGAGGTCGACTCCACTCTGTCCAAATACAACAGTGTTTTGTTACAGAAGGAGGCAGAACTCAGAAGCTGCGTCGAGACTCTCACAGGCCTTTCTATTGGTACCAACTTCAAGGAGGGTCTAAAGCAGCAGTTCTCAACCTGTGGGTCGCGACCCCTTTTGGGGTCGAACGACCCTTTCACAGGGGTCGCCTAAGATCATCGGAAAACACATATATAATTACATATTGTTTTTGTGATTAATCACTATGCTTTAATTATGTAACAATTTGTAACAATGAAAATACATCCTGCATATCAGATATTTACATTACGATTCATAACAGTAGCAAAATTACAGTTATGAAGTAGCAATGAAAATAATTTTATGGTTGGGGGGCACCACAACATGAGGAACTGTATTAAAGGGTCGCGGCATTAGGAAGGTTGAGAACCTCTGGTCTAAAGGATGGAATTATCCTGTGCACACTCATGAATAAGCTGCAGCCAGGCTCAGTCCCCATGATCAACCACTCCAAGCAAAACCAGGACTAGCTAGAAAACATCTCCAACTTCATCAACTTGGCAGTTCTCACAATAACCACAAAGGCAATTCTCTGGAGAACCCTGACTAATACAGTGGAATGACTAAATTATATTTCTTTTTGAAGTAATAGAGTTTCTAAAATTTATTGTTGTGATAAATACACAACTCTGTGTATATAATCAAGAGCATTGAATTATACAGATTTAAAGGGTAAATTGTATGATATGTGGTTTATATCTGAAATTGGTTAAAAATATCTACCATTACAAAGTTACAATATTTTAAGCATATTAATTAAGGATATGAAGGTAACATCCAAAAAATGACCATAAGAGATGAAGGTTGTTTATTTGATGAACATAAATTGCAGATGAAACCTCAGCCAATATTTATCTTCAAATATTTCTCCTGCCTGATCTCTCTCTCTCTCTCTCTCTCTCTCTCTCTCTCTCTCTCTCATCCTCCCCCTCCCTCCATTCTGGGGTTCTAATTACATATGAATGTTAAAATTCTTATAAAATTGTCTCACATCTCAAGATGTTCTTTTTTATTTAGTTGGGTTTTTCCCACTCATTTTGTTCCTTGCACATTAGTTTAGATCATTTCTATTGACTCACCACTGTTTCTTTGCTTTGTCCAGTCTACTATAAGCCTATACCATAGATATAATTATTTAGCTTTGATATTATAGTCTTTTTTATTTCTAGCCCTGTTATCTCTATCACTGCTACAGAAAAATCTCTGTCAGAGGCACTGAGAGCATTATTTGTTGCACTCTCTGGCCACCTCGATTGCACAGGCAGGAGCACAATCTAGGTACCCTAGCTGGCCACCAGTACCAGACCCACACCAGCACTGTGGCTTGTCCCCAAGACTCTCTGTAGACCATGCCCTCTCCAGACATAGCTCTGGGCACCAGTATGAACTGGTGATTATAATAGAATCAGGGGCATAGAAAGGGAATGGACTGACTATTCTTGAGGGGGAAAGGGGTGTGGGGGTGCGGGAAGAGATTGGACAATAATCATGCACCTATGGATGAGGACAGTGGGTGGGGAGTGAGGGTGGAGGGTGGGGTGGGAACTGGGTGGAGGGGAGTTATGGTGGGAAAAAAGAGGAACCAATGTAATAATCTGAACAATAAAGATTTAATTAAAAAAAACAGAAAGAACTAAATGAAATGGAGACAAGCAATGCAAATAAAGAGTTCAAAACACTGGTTATAAGCACTGGCCAGGTGGCTCAATTGGTTGGACCATTGTCCCAGACACCAAAAAATTGTGGATTTGTTGTGAGTTCAATTAACAATCAGGAAATATACCTAAGCTTCAGTTCGATCACTAGTTGTGTCACATACTGGAGGCAACTGATCAATGGTTCGCTCTCACATCAATGTTTCTCTCTTTCTAAAATCAATATTTTAAAAAATTATAAAACAAACTGGTTATAAAAATTCTCAATGAACTTAGGAGAAGAATAGATAAACTCAGTGAGAACTTCTTCAACAAAGATAAATGCGTACATATATGTATGTATACATATACACAAATTATTTATTTATGAAATTTTCCATTTAATAGCTTTTTGCCATAGTTGACCACGTGTAACTGAAACTGTGTAATGAAGACTAATATAGTTCTTATTTACTGCACACTAAATATATAGTGGGCACTATTTAATTTTACAATGGGGAAAAGATAGTCTCTTCACTAAATAGTTTTAGGAAAGCTTTTGTGCAGTGAAGAAAACCATCAATAAGACAAAAAGGCAACCTACTGAATAAGAAAACATATTTACAAATGATATATTCAATAAGAGGTTAATATTCAAAATACATAAAGTACTCATACACTCTACGATAAAAAACAATTTAATTTAAAAATGGGCAGAGGGTATGCATAAACATTTCTCTAAAGAAGACATACAGATGGCTGACAGACACATTAAAAGATACTCAATCTCACTAATCATCAGGGAAATGCAAATCAAAACCACAATGAGATGTCACCTCACACCTGTCAGATTGGTATTATCAAAAAGGCAACAAATAATAAGTGTTGACAAGGATGGAAGTAAAAAGAACCGTCATGCACTGTTGGTGGTATTGTAAACAGGTGCAGACACTAAGGAAGTATGAAGATTCCTAAAATATTAAAAATAGAAATACTATATTATCTAGCAATTCCATTTCTGGGTATTTATTTAAAGAAAACAAAAAGTAACTCAAAAAGGTATATGTACCCCTATGCTTATTACACATTGTTTCCAATAGCCAAGACATGGGAGCAATTAGGTGTCCATTAATAGCTGAATGGATAAAGAATATGTAACATGAATATATATATCCTATCTAATAAAGAGGAAATATGCAAATTGACTGTCATGCTGTGACAGAGATGGCGATGCCCATAGCCACAAGATGGCAGTGCCCAGTCCCCTCAGCCCCGCCAGAGTCCCCCAGTCCTTTCAGCCTTGCCAGGGAGGGGGGGTGGCAGGACTAAGGGTGGGTCTGGCTGTTACTTGCGCCTGCTGCCAGAGTCCCATAGTTTTTTCAGCCCAGCCGGGGGGGCGAGGGGGGGCAACAGGCACACGGTGCAGCTGGACTTGCCCTCAGCCCCCCAGCCCCCCAGGGCCAGCCCAAGGTGCAGGTAAGCCTCAGATGGCGGCTGCCCAGCCACCCAGGACTGCCTGAGGCTCAGGTAACCAGGGCTGGCCAAGGCTTGCACTGCGGCAGTGGCAGCAGCAGAGGTGTGATGGGGTGTCGCCTTCGCCTGATTGCCAGGTTGCCTCCTGCCCCTGAGGGCTCTTGGGCAGGCCGGGCTGAAGGACCCCCCCGCTCCAGTACATTAATTTTTATGCACCAGGCCTATAGTACACAGACACACACACACACACACACACACACACACACACACACACACACACATATATATATATACACACACGCACACACATATAAAAGGGTAATATGCTAATTAGACCGGACGTCTTCCAGACGTCCTTCCAGACAAAGCCACGGTGGCGGGGGGCAAAGGCAGAGGCGGTTAAGGGTGATCAGGCCGGCAAGGGAGAGCAGTTAGGAGGATCAGGCTGGCAGGGGAGAGTAGTTAGGAGAATCAGGCCAGCAGGGGAGAACAGTTAAAAGGATTGGGCCAACAGGGGAGAGCAGTTAGGGGGATCAGACTGGCAGGGGAGAGCAGTTAGGGCAATTAGGCTGGCATGGAAGAGCAGTTAGGGCAATCAGGCTGGCAGGGGAGAGCAGTTAGGGGAATCAGGCAGGCAGGCAGAGAGGTTAGGGGCGATCAGGCAGGCAGGTAGAATGGTTAGGGGCAATCAAGCAGGCAGGCAGGTGAGTGGTTAGGAGCCAGTGGTCCCGGATTGTGAGAGGCAGTCGGACATCCCCTGAGGGGTCCCGGATTGGAGAGGGTGCAGGCCCGGCTGAGGGACCCCCCCCCTCCACGCACGAATTTCGTGTACCGAGCCTCTAGTATATAATAAAATATTATACTCAGCCATAAAAACAAATGAAATCTTGCCAATTGCAACAACATGGATAGACTTTAGAGAGTATTATTTAATTGAAATAAGTTGGACAGAGAAAGACAAATGCCATATGATTTGACTTATATGTGGAACCTCAAAACAAAACAAACGAACAAACAAAAGGAAATAAAAACTCATAGATAAAGAGAACAAAGGGATGTTTCAGAGGGGAGTGAGGTGGGAGGATGGATGAAAAAAGGGAAGGGGATTGAGAAAAACAAACTTCCAGGTCCACTGCCCTGTCCTGTTGCTGTTGTGCCAACACCAGCTGCTGCCCCTGGACCCCATTATGGAAGAGACAATAGAAGACCCCCAGCCAACAGCTGTCTTGGTCTCACAGTATTTCTCTCAGGTCATCTTCAACAGTATGGAGAAGTTCTATGTTTCTGGAGGGGATGTCAAATGCTATTACACACTCAACCAGCATTTCATTCCCCATCGAAAGGATTGGATTGGAATTTTTATAGTGGCATGAAAAACAACTCATGTATACTACACCTTCAAGTGAGTTACTTTGCCTGTTGACCTAAATAGCAAATCAGCTAAACATCAAGAAGTCCAATTCAAAGCCTATTACCTGTCCAAGGATAATGAATTTTTCTTTACTTCTCTTTTTATTCTCTTTGTTTAATTTCCTTTTAGAAGAGATAATGCAACATTGAGATGAGTGGCAAACTCTCAGCTAGATTCTCTGGGTTTGAACATTGGCTCTACCACTTGCTAAATGGGTAACTCTAGGCAAGTCACTTAACCTCCCCATGCCTTAGTTTCCCCACATATATATAATGGAGATAACAGTAACACCTTCAAAGATTTGCTTTGAGGAATAAATAAAATATAGACTATTTAGAGCAAGTCAAATTGATTGTGATAGACAATCAATAAAGTCAGTTATTATTATCTTTCTGTCTGGGTGATTAGAAAAATAACACATTTACTATAAAGGAATTAGGACACACACCAAAAATTTTAAATGAAAACTACCCATTACCATCCATGTTCTCACTATCCACAGCAGTCTGTACATTTGAAAAGGACGTATTGGGTAATGGTGATAAAGACTAGTATTTGCCTATACAATGTTTATTCTTCCCTTCTTCCTTAATAACTACACCCTGATTTTGTTGTGGGTAAAAAGAGTATTATTTCCTAGCCTTCTTTATTTAAAATTTAAACTGTTTATTGTTTAAAGTATTACATATGTCTCCTTTTTCCCCCATTGTCCTCTCCCCAGCTGTTCCCCTCCCCTGCCCCTCAACCCCCACCCACCCCAGCACATGCCCTCATCCCGCTACTATCTGTATCCATTGGTTATGTTCATATGCATGCATACAAGTCCTTTGGTTGATCTTTTAACACCCCTCTCCCCTGCCTTCCCTCTAAGGTTGGACGGTTTGTTCGATGCTTCTATGTCTCTAGATCTATTTTTGTTCATCAGTTTATGTTGTTCATTATATTCCACAATGAGTGAGATCATGTGATATTTATCTTTCTCTGGCTGGCTTATTTCGCTTAGCATAATGCTCTCCATGTCCATCCATGCTGTTACCAATGGTAATAGTTCCTTCTTTTTTACAGCAGCATGGTATTCCCTTGTGTAGATATACCACTGTTTTTTAATCCACTCATCTGCTGATGGGCATTTAGGCTGTTTCCAAATCTTAGCTATTATAAATTGTGCTGCTATGATCATAGGGGTGCATATATCCTTTCTGATTGGTGTTTCTAGT